CTTGTTGGTTTCAGGTTAGAGAACATCACCCGATAACAAAGTGTTTTCTCTCTCACAACAAACCAAGATTAAAGGCTTATCATTACCGAAACCAACCAAAATGAACATGTCAAATAAGTATATTTTCCTAACAAAATTGATTAAAGTTGGAGAAATTTGACTCTGTACAAAACTAAAGTGACATGTAATTTTGAATGAAGAGAGCACTACTACGTTCGGAAAAAAACCCGAACGTTCATATAACAAAAACGAGCAAGACACAAAGGCTATATTCCTCTTGTCCAAAACGTCACAGTAAACAAGCAAGACGAATGCTTATCCTGGTCCTTCGACTTGTTTCTAAGACGTACCTTGTGGGTCAAACTAGTCCTAGGATGATCGACATAAAACGTCATATAGTCGGGGCTATTTGGTGAACCAACACGTAAGAGCTATCCCGTTCTATGTGTCTAGTATATCGACGGTTAGGTGCCACCGCTGCCTTTCCCGTCTTTTGCTCTTACAGTTCGTTGTGTGAAGCCACAAGAGATAACTGTGGATCTAAAGTACATGTACGAGACCAAGAGAAGATAACCGCTTAGCTTTGTGCCGGAACTAACAAAAAAAAATCTGTAAAGTAGGAAAGGAAGGAAAAGCTTGTCCTAAAAGCAGCATCAACAACATTTGGTTTCTCGGGTCTTGTCTTGTTTGATTTGCTTATTTTCAGGCGAGCTTTGAGGTTTTTAGGTGGTTTGATCCAAGCAAAGTTTTTCGAGCCCTAGTAAAAGTTGTTTTAGGTGGGCAACACATGTAAAATGTTAGACGAGAGCGATTCAAATGCGGTGTCACATTTCGAGTTTGCGACAAAATTGTTATCGCAATCAATGGCTTTGTAACTGCAATGGTCGTTGCACGGTAGCAAAAGTCCCATCATATTCATTCATGACAATGGCAAAAAAAAAATGATTCATTGCGTAGAGTTTTCACATCCATGATGACTTGTGAGTCTCTTATGTTACCATAAATGCCATCTTAATACTAATATTGATTTTAATTGCTATGTGTGGTATCTATTGAAAGAAATACTACAATTGATATAGTAACAAACCAATGCATTCCGTGTGTGCCATATTTTCTTCTCTATAAAACCAATTCACCCCACTTTTGAGAAACGAAACTCGAACATGCTTATCCACCCATCAAAATGGAGCAGAAGTGGGAATGTGAAAACAAGAGGAGACACTCCATCATCTGCTCTACATGGGTTTGATGGAATAGAGAATCACCGAAAAGGCTATAAACATAAATAAGAACTTGGTTTTATGAAACCTTTTTGCCTTGTTTTCTGTTTGTGGGATAGCAAAAGTTGTCTTATGTTTTGTCTTGATCCTTGGATTGTTTTGTAAACGTGACGAATTGACGGTAACAAGGTTTTAAAATATATCTTGTGGTTCGAATCGGTTCTAGGACTGACATGAAACTCTATGTAGCTAGTGTCATTTGGCGAAGCAACATGTAAGAATTGGCTCGTTTTGCGTGTTTCATCTATTGGCGGTCGGGTGCGTCTATTGGATTTTGTGTGTTTTGTGCTTAGTCCATAGCCTGAAGCCAAAAGATATATCACAGATATAAAGTAGTTGTATGAGACTAGAAGAAGGTAACAGTTTAGCTTCGCGCTAAAGTTTGATTAAAAAAACACATATAGAGTAGGAAAAAGGTGTAGTAACCATAATATTAGAACCAACACGTAAGAACTGATTCATTTTGCATGTTTCATCTATTGGCGGTTGGGTGCATCTATTGGCTTTTGCATGTTTTGCGCTTATAGTCCCTGAAGCCAAAAGATATAATTGTGGATATGAAATAGTCATATGAAACTAGAAGAAGGTAACCGTCTAGCTTCACGCTGTAGTTTGAATAAAAAAAGCCACATATAGAGTAGGGGAAAAAGGTGTAGTAAAAATCATATCCATAATCGGCTCGTTCGGCTGCTCTAGAAGCCAGCCGTTCAGCTGCTTTTTGAGCACTGTAGCAACAGTGCTTGTGTCTGCTAACCAGCCGAAAGTGGAGCAAGACCAGCCGAGAGTGGAGCTTCCGAGCGAGCTGAATATTAGAACCAACACATAAGAACTGGCTCATTTTGCATGTTTCATCTATTGGCTGTTGGGTGCGTCTATTCGCTTTTGCATGTTTTGTGCTTATAGTCCCTGAAGCCAAAAGATATAATCGTGGATATAAAATAGCTATATGAGACTAGAAGAAGGTCACCGGCTAGCTTCACGCTAGAGTTTGATTAAAAAAACTACATATAGAGTAGGGGAAAACGATATAGTAAAAAATAATATCCATAATGTCAGAACCAACACGTAAGAACTGGCTTATTTTGCGTGTTTCATCTATTGGCGGTTGAGTGCGGCTATTTGGCTTTTGCGTGTTTTGCGCTTATAGTCCATATCTTGAAGCCAAAAGATATAATCGTGGATATAAAATAGTTATATGAGACTAGAAGAAGGTAACCGTCTAGCTTCACGCTAGAGTTTGATTAAAAAAACCACATATAGAGTAGGGAAAAACGATATAGTAAAAAATCATATCCATAATATAAGAACCAACACGTAAGAACTGGCTTATTTTGCGTGTTTCATCTCTTGGCGGTTGAGTGCGGCTATTGACTTTTGCGTGTTTTGCGCTTAAAGTCCATAGCCTGAAGCCAAAAGATATAATCGTGGATATAAAATAGTTGTATGAGACTAGAAGGTAACTGTATAGCTTCACGCTAAAGTTTGATAAAAAACCCACATATAGAGTAGGAAAAAAGATAATAGCAAAAAATCATATAAATAATATTAGAACCAACACGTAAGAACTTGCTTATTTTGCGGTTTCATCTATTGCCGGTTGGGTGCGGCTATTGGCTTTTGCATGTTATACGCTAATAGTCCATAACCTGAAGCCAAAAGATATATGATCGCGGATATAAAGTAGTTGCATGAGACTAGAAGAAGGTAACTGTTTGGCTTCACGCTAGAGTTTGATTAAAAAACCACATAGAGTAGGGAAAACGATAAGTAAAAAATCATATCCATAATATCAGAACTAACACCTAAGAACTGGCTCGTTTTGCATGTTTCATCTATTGGCGGTTGGGTGCGGCTATTGGCTTTTGCGTGTTTTGCGCTTATAGTCCATAGCCTGAAGCAAAAAGATATAATCGTGGATATAAAGTAGTTGTACGAGACTAGAAGAAGGTAACTGTTTCGCTTCACGCTAGAGTTTGATTAAAAAACCATAGATAGAGTAGGGAAAAGCGATATAGTAAAAAATTATATCCATAATATTAGAACCAACACGTAACAACTGGCTTATTTTACGTGTTTCAGCTATTGCCTTTGGCTTTTGTGTTTTGCACTTATAGTCCATAGCCTGGAGCCAAAAGATATAACCGTGGATATAAAATAGTTGTATGAGACTAGAAGAAGGTAACCGTATAGCTTCATGCTAAAGTTTAATTAAAAAACATATATAGAGTAGGAAAAAAGATATAGTAAAAAACCATATCAATAATATTAGAACCAACGCGTAAGAACTGGCTCATTTTGCGGTTTCATCTATTGGCGGTTGGGTGCATCTATTGGCTTTTGCGTGTTATGCGCTAATAGTCCATAACTTGAAGCCAAAAGATATGATCGTGGATATAAAGTATTTATATGAGACTAGAAGAATGTAACCGTTTAGCTTCGCGCTAAAGTTTGATTAAAAAGAAAACCATATATAGAGTAGATAAATGTTGTAGTAAAAGAAATCATATCAATAATATTATGTTCCTGGAGGTATCATCGTCATCTGTTTTCTTATTTTCATGTGAGTTTTGAGGTTTTTAGGTGGTTTGACCCAACAAAGTTTGAACTCTCATAAAAGCGAATTTGGATGGGCGACAACCGTAAAATGATGATGGAAGTGATTCAAATGTGATGTTAAGGGCTGTTTGGCTCCCAGCCAACGGCCGCCAGCGCCGCTGTGGCGGCCCTGCCTAAGGTGCGGTGACAAAAACTGCCGCCTAAGCTGTGGCAAAAAAATGAACTATGAAACGTGTGGCTGCAAACGCCTATTCATAGACCAAACACTCGCCTGGATATCCGTGGCTGCCAGACTTTGTGGCGTGGCGCGCCGTGGCCGGGAACCAAGCATCCTCTTAGTCTCGAGTCTGCGGCAAACTTGTTAATAACTCAAATGACCATTGAAGGGTAACAAAGTCACGTTTTATTCATTCATCTCAATGGCAAAAGGAAAAAAATGATTCACCACGTAGAGTTTTCATGTCTACGATGACTAGTGACCTGTGAGTCTCTCATGTTACCATTCATGCTATCTTAATACGAATATTAATCCTAATCACTATATACTATCTCTATTTGAAACACTACAATTTGATAGTAATAAACATGGTGCAACCGTGCAATTTCATGTGCGTACCACATTTTTTTTCTTTATTAGATAGAAACCACCTCAGCCCACTTTTGATCAGCGGCGAATTTGGGAGTCGGCTGTCCACCAATCGAAACGCAACCAAAGTGGGAATGTGAAAACGGAGAGGAGACGCCACTCAATATCTGCTCTAGGGTTTTATAGGCCGCATAAACGAGAGAGTACTCCAGCAAAGGCCGCGCCGCAGCCCCACCCGGCCACCCTGCGCTGTCTGCCCCTCTCTCTCTCTCTCTCCGTCCGCCCCCGCTCCCCCCCTTGTCTCCTCCCTCCCTCTCTTCCCTCCCAACCCCACCCGCGCCCCACCCAACCCCGCGCCGCCTCTCCTCCCTTCCCCACCGTGCGTGTCCTGCACGTGCTCCCTCCTCCCCCTCCCTCCCTCCTCCGCGCTACCACCTCCGGCCGCCGCCGCCACACCGCGTCCGGAAGCAGCGAAAGGCGCCGCCTTTCCATCCATCCGGCTTCCTCCCTGTAAAGGAAGGTTCTTCGGCGCTTCCTTTGTGTGCCGAGCCCGGGAGGCGGGCGTCTCGGGCGGAAGCATGGACCACGGCGGCGGGGGAGGAGGAGGGGGCGGGGCGCCGTCCAGCAGCAACAGCGGCGGGCGCGGGGGCGACCACCACCAGCCGTTCTACTACGCCGGCCCGGGGGCGTCCAACTCCGGAGTGCCGCAGCCCCAGCAGCAGCAGCAGCAGGCGTCGGCGTTCGCGGGCGCGCTCGCTATCACGCCCGTCCCGGAGCAGCCGCAGCCGTCGTCGGCCGCGGGCGGCGCCGACAACAAAAAGGCGCTGGTGCCTGTGGCGTCCCCCGCGGCGGCGGCGGGGCCCGTGGTGGCGGCGAAGCGTCCGTCCAAGGACCGGCACACCAAGGTGGACGGGCGGGGGCGGCGGATTCGGATGCCGGCGCTGTGCGCGGCGCGGGTGTTCCAGCTCACCCGCGAGCTCGGCCACAAGTCGGACGGCGAGACCATCGAGTGGCTGCTGCAGCAGGCGGAGCCGGCCATCCTGGCGGCCACGGGCACCGGCACCATCCCGTCCAACTACTCCTCGCTCAGCATCTCCATCCGCTCCGGCGGCGCCGCCCGCGCCGCGCCGTTCCCGGCGCTCGCGCTCCACCCGCACCACCACCACCACCACCAGGCGGCGGGGGCCCCCGACATGTCCGCCATGATGGCCGGGTACCACCACCACCTCCTCCCGCCGCCGCAGCAGCAGCAGCAGCAGCAGGACCCAAACGCCGGCGGCGACGCCTACATGCGGAAGCGCTACCGGGAGGACCTGTTCAAGGAGGACGACGACCGCCAAGATCCGAGCGCGCCCAAGGCGCGCGAGCAGCAGCAGGCGGCGGCTGCGACGCCCCCGCCGCCGCCTTCCGCCGCAATGTGGGCCGTGGCACCCAACGCCGCGGCCCCATCCGGCGGGTTCTGGATGCTGCCCGTGTCCGCGAGCTCGGCCGCCGCGGCGCGGCCTGCCGAGCAGCCCATGTGGTCCTTCAGCGGCGGCGGCGGCACGGGCACCGTGCAGGCACCGCTCCAGTTCATGTCCAGGGCCAGCTACCCCAGCGGCGCTGCTGCAGGAGGAGGCGGCGGCGGCGGAGGAGCCATGTCGGACACCAACCTTGGCATGCTCGCCGCGCTGAATGCGTACAACCGCGGCGGGAGCGAGGAGCAGCACCAGCAGCCCGAGGGGGAGCAGCAGCACGGCGGCGGCGGGAGCAACGACGACGAGGACGGCGACGACAGCGCCGAAGAGAACAACGGCAACAACAGCTCACAGTAAGCTGGCTGGCGATGACGATGAGCAGGGAATCCGCCAGCCACCATGATCGCATCTTTCTGGTAGCAAAGCATCCGCATCATCGGATAGGTGTTTAGCGCTAAGAATTTTGGTGACTTATTCGCGGGAGGATCGCCCTGAGCTGTCTGGATGATTGGACGGAGGAGGAAACCAACCGTGGGATCCAATCATGGAGGAAGAAAAAAAATGGTGCGCTAGCTTTTGTGCAGGAAGCAAGTGAAGCAAGCCAAGCGAATGCAGGAGCAAATCTTCTTGCTAGTTCATTAGTTTTTGTTTCTCTTTGATGAATTTGTTTCAGTTGATTTTTTTTTGGATTGTTCTATGAATGATTGCGTTGTTGAGACCGGGTGTGATGGTGATGATGATTAAGTGGGTCCGAATTAGGAGGGCCAGCCAAGGACAGGAGTCTGAGTCTGAGTTTGAGAGCGATCTGTATATACAGCTGATCGATCATCTTGATTTTTTGCTGCGTTGTTGATTCTAGTTGTCTCTGGCGAGTTATTGGTACAAGAAGTGTTCATTCTAGTCGTTGGTTTGCTCATCGTTATGTCACCTTGAATTGTGACTTGTCGCGTTGTTTTATCCTACTATTCTTGTGTTGTTTTTTTTTAAACCTCCAGCCTGTTGGTTCGGTTGACTGGTTTATATCGTTGTTGGTTCATAAAAAAGTACTCGCTGATTTACTGTTTCGGCTAAAAATTTGGCTGCTTGTCATGCCGTGCAGTGCGTACAGCCAAAACTGCATATCGTGACGTCACTAGATATGCAAAGCTGCAATTTTTGTCCTTAGGAGGCATTACACAAGGAGAAAACTGTTTCTCTCTTTTTTTCCCTTTCACATGTGGGTACGTCAAAATTAGTTCACAAAGTACATTTTCAGTAGAATCATCCTCAACGGATTTCTTCATTTTGGCCATGTTCCTTTTGCGCCTGATGAAAAACCATCATCTTTTATATTTGTGCTATGATGAAGCTGAGCATGGACATTTCTGGTAGGCTGGAAAGAACACCCGGGAGGCCAAAACAGAGTGAAGCAAGCAAGGGCACTGAATAGAGTGGACAGTGGAGGTCATCCGCGTATCAGGGAGGTGCATTGCGATGAAGGGACGGAGCGCTTTATTTATAAATATAAAAAATCAGACAGGGTGAGCGACCGCGACGGGATGGATTTGAATTAACAAAACCAAACGCAGGCGTCGTTATCCCCGACGGGTGGTGAAACATGTTGGAATTATCCCTTTAATAATTGCCCGTCGCGTCAGCGCTCAACAGCGAGGAGCCTCTCCGGACTCCGGCTCTCCTGTTGGTTTGATCGTATCGCTACGCTTATAAATCGTGATATAGTATTTTTTTTTCCTTATAATAAAACAGCGTAACCCGACTTACAGCTTGTTGATTTAGCTGTGGCTTATCATAAACGATCGTAAATTTCTAGCTCGAAACAGTATTTTTCTCTCATACAAACTAGTCAGTAGTATTTTTTCACGACCAGCAACGACATTAACCAACCAACCGAACATGCTGTTATAAGCTACAGAAACGATCTAAACAAACAGTGCGATGATATTTGTTTTGGGCGTCACTGCGCTCTGGTCTGGATTCTGAAATCTGAACAAAGGCTGGCCTCTGTGGTCGCGTCGTCCGCGCTGTCGACAGGAACCAACTGAGAAATGAAATGCGAAAAACGTCTCTCTCAGATCACACGATCTTCGCGTCTTTTAGGTGTGTCTGGTTCTCCCGTTCTTTCTAAAAATCACGTCACATCGAATATTTAGATACTAATAAAGAGCATTTAATATAGATTAATTATAAAATCAATTACATAGATGAAGGTTAATTTACAAGATGATTTTTAAGCCTAATTAAGCACATGTTTACTGTAGCATCATGTTGTCAAATCATGAACTAATTAGATTTAAAAGATTCGTCTTGCAAATTAGTTGCAAATTATATAATTAGTTTCATAATTAATCTATTTTTAATACTTTATGTATATATCTAAACATTCGATGTGATAAATTTTGTGATAGGAATTTTAAGAGGACAGTAGAAACAGACAGGGCCTTAGACGAAGTGCGAAGGAACGGTGTGCTTGTGTACAAACAAAGCTGTGCTGTGCGTTATCCACTCTACTCTACTATTCAGAGCATGTACACGTACTACTACTAAGACGTCGCTGCTGTCAGCGAAAGAAGACAGCGAGAAAGCGACGGCAGCACAGCATGATTTTCTCGGGAAATAATAATAGGGCCGCTGTACTGTCACTGTGGGCAGCAGATATGTACTACTAGTACTAATGTAATGCTGGTCTTAAAAATATTGTAAAAAAAGGATTCCTCCACTCATCAGTAGCGATTTCCTCTCGCTCAAAAACAACTACCGCTAATTCGGACGTCTCGGAGACGCACGGAGAACTGGATTCGCGCATGTTTGAAAATGTTTGAGTTTCCCTGGAAAAGGCTGAAACCCATGCCATGCCAATCCAAACAAATCAGAAATTCAGAAGACTAGTAGTACTACGTACAGTACTCCATTGCTCATAGAGAATGCAGGTGAGGTCCATCCAATCCTACGTATATGGTTGGAAAGGACACCTCTGTGCTGTGGGAAATGGCGAGACTGCGGCCGTCCGTGTAGACGCGGTCGAACCATCACCATTCAACGCGGAAAGTGATTTGTTTCCAGGGCAGGGCGTGGCCCCCAGCCCCCAGATGGTGGATGTCACTCGTGGCCCTGCCGCACTGCTGTCACTCGCCCTGCTTGCTCTTGTTGCTGGGCCCTCGGGTTAGCATTGATCTCCACTAATTTGACCCAACAGTTAATTGAACTCTTGATCCACATTATGATCGGAGACGCCCACCCATTTTTTTTGGCAACGCAATAAATAGGAGGTGGGGGCTGGGGCTCGAGACATGAGGTTCACCGCAGCCGCCAGCGCCCCACCGAAGTTTCTATCCCTAGACCGATCGAGAGAGATGTTGTGAGCGACGGAAACGCCATCGCCTTCGTCGTCGCCATAGCACCGCACCTGCACTGCTGCTGCGTTCGACGATCTGGACCGTGCCTGCACGGCTTCCCCTACTCCGACACCAGTGGCCACGTCGCTGCGGCGCCATGGCCACGATTGCCCTTGGCGACCCAAGTCTTCTATCTAAGCTAAGTATTATCCACTGATCTACGTGTTTACATCAAAATTTGAAGAAGAGTCGCAAGGAATTCGAAAGCCCCCAAAATCATATCAACAGGGAATCAATTGCGTGCAGATCGGAATCAGCTGATTCGAATGCAGCACTTGAATCGGCTTTCTTCATGCAGCGCTGGCAGATAATGACAAAGGCTACGATCGGCGTCAGGACGAGCCATGATGGACTCTACAAAAGGGGAAAGATTAGAGTCCAAGTTATCTTAAATTATGAATATTTTCTCTTAGGGCCAAAGATTGTGATGAGTCGTGCTTAGATAGGAGTCATGCGTAGGTCCCGGGTATAAATATCAAACCCCGACTATTGTAAGGGACACACAATCAATCCAATACAAGTTATTTACTTTTTTCGCTCCGGCCACCCCTTAGGAGTAGGAGTAGAGTAGATCTCGGTGAGTTATTTATACCCTTGGCGACCCAAGTCTGAATCGGTTGTTTTAACCGATTTCTAGCGCTTTATGAATAATTCGCATCACGAGATCGTTGAAGTAGAGATAGGTTGAAAGATATGTTAGCCCCATGATCTTATTATTGTATTATGACCTGCATGATTCTGCCTCATGCCCCATTGATATTAGTAATAAGTTAGGGTCGTCGAGTCTATTGTTGTTTCTACGGCCTGTATGATTCTGCCTCATGCCCTACTGGTCATAGCGATAGATGAGATCTAATATGTTCATTAGATTTATCTCTATTAAATGGTTGAATGATGATGAATTGTTTCTTTCATAAAAAGAGGTTCGGTTACTTGCAGTCATTGGCTTAGCATGAACTAATTATTGATATCTTATTGCCATTGACTAATATTTGTTTAAAGAATGATATCCACCCTGAACGATAACCGATTCTTCTTACACAACCCCATTAGCTTTAACCGATTTATTCTTATAAATCTGCTAGAATCGACTATTTAGTCGATCTCCTTTCATATCGGCTCTCAGAGCCGCATATTCGGGACTGTCTAGCAACACCGGCACGTTCCGCCCTTAATTACTGATAAACTTTGTCTCCTTGTCAATTACAGGGTCAAATTCACTGGCACGTCTCGGGAGGACTGCGTAGGATCGACCACCCCTACGCTGAAGCTAGGCGGATCTCCAACTCCATCGAGCGGACCCTTCCGACTTGCTACGTGTGTCCTCGGCACGAGATGAAATTCTATGTCGACACACGTTTCTAGCACGCTTGGTGGGACCCCACAATCGTCATGGCGGTTCATAACAACAACAACGACATCCTTATGATACATTATGAAGATCTACCTGCTGAAGATAAAGATGTCATCGACAAAGCTACAGAAGAATTTTAGAACAAATGTTTGTTGTCCTACACCAAAACACGTGACAACACAATTGTTCAGAAATTTCCACTATCAAGAGTTCTATTACACGGGCAGACAGATACAACTGAAGATGAAGACAGACGTTTCTTTACGAAAGTTGTAGACAAATCTATTCGTGATGCCATATCAAGCCAAAATGAAGCTTTCTTGGACACATTCCACAACGCTATGAAAGAAGCGATTTATGGGTTTCCAGTTGGTCAAGTTGGGCCGGCTTATTACAACATTCCAGATCTGTCGACCCAAGAGACTAATCAAGTCGATACCAACCATCAAGAAGCAGCACCAGCTAGCAATGGTGATGTCTAGGCAGTTCAGGGTTCATCTGAACAGGCTCAAGGAACTACTATGAATCAGATACAGTATAATCCTAGACTGTTAGTACAGCATGTGCAACAGCCGGCGGGGCAAAGTCAGAACCAGGTGATCAATTTTGGC